CACTTTTTTTGAAATCTTCGGTCACTATCTTATGAAAAGAACCACAGGGAACCAAGCTGTCGAACTGCCAAATAGGGGCTGACGCAGCCAGAGCTCTGCAAACAAAGAGGCAAAATACAGGTAATACTCGATTTATAATAGTTCACTTAGTGACCGTTCAAAGTTATAACCACACTGAAAAAAGAGACAGATGACCATTTTTCACACTTATGTTATCTACATTCGGATGCCCAAAATCACCCAGCCAGGCTTCATGCTTAAGGCGTGATTAGAACTCACAGTCTCCTCATGATTGGCCGAAAGTCACTCAGCGGGCTTTCATGCTTAAGGCGGGATTAGAACTCACAATCTCCTCATGATTGGCCGAAAGTCAATCAGCTGGCTTTCATGCTTAAGGCGGGATTAGAACTCACAATCTCCTCATGATTGGCCGAAAGTCAATCAGCTGGCTTTCATGCTTAAGGCGGGATTAGAACTCACAATCTCCTCATGATTGGCCGAAAGTCACCCAGCCGGCTTTCATGTCTAAGGTGGGACTAGAACTCACAGTCTCCTTACGATTAGCCCAAAGTCACCCAAGGTAGGACTTGAATTCATGGACCCCTGCTTTCCAACATGGTGATCGCTAAACTCTGAACCTAAGTAGTAATTGAAGCTAGTAGTAATCAAAAACCACCAACGGAGAAATGTGAAGCTAGATTCAGAAACTAGCTGGTTCCTGTGTGGTTCCGTAGAGATAGGGCCCGGTTGCTCCAGACTTACCCAATTACTACGTGGGGATATTTCATTCGGAACCAGGCAGCAAGCATTCCACCATAAGACCCTCCTATAGCTATCACTGGAGTATTCTGCGTGCCAGGAATCGTATTTTTCAAGTGTTGGATAAGTACCGCAAAATCAGCCAGAGCTTGCTGCGAAGTCAGGTAATTCAAATGCTTGGCATCCTGAAACGAGACCACAAAACTTTTGTATGGCGCCCTTAATATATTTACACCTTCAGTGGTGGGAGCATGCTGGTTTAACGACCAGTTCGGTGATCGTGTGCTACGTGCCCACCCGCGACTGATGTACACCCACACAAAACTTACTTTCCATGTTACTTCTGGGGAGCAACACAGCTGAGGCGCGGCAATCCACACTGCTGCGCAAATCAGCTGAAAGGATATAGGTAAGTAAAGCGCAGGGGCGGGGGGGTGGGGCGGTCCAAATGATTGTCGGAGCGAACCGGTTCACTCCCAGCTGTTCATCCGAGCTACCGGTTCGCCTAAACTGGTCCGAACCGGCTGAATCCCACCCCCGTCAAAAGAAGAGATTCCTTAGATCAGAGGTCTCCAATCTTGGCAACTTTAAGACTTGTGGACTTCAACTTCTGGGAAATTTTGATTTTGGTTGTCAAAGTCACAAAAGGGGATCACATGAACCCGGGACCAGAGGTCGTATTCAGCAGGTTCTGACCAGTTCTGGGGAACCGGTAGCGGAAATTTTGAGTAGTTCAGAGAACCGGTAAATACCACCACTGCCTGGGACACTGCAACCCTCATGGATATGAGTCAATTGCCAAGCGTCTGAATTTCGATTCCATGACCATGAAAATGGGTCGTAAGTCATTCTTTTCAGTGCCGTCGTAACTTTGAACGGTCACTAAATGAACTACTGGAAGCCGAGGACTACTTGTATAGCTGAGTTCAACGTATGAGCTCAATCTGTGAATACTCTGAATTAGAAGTTGATACTTACGGTGTACGACTTATTTCCAAACGGCAAGGATTCCCCGTAGTATCTGTGTTCGGCAAAAACCAGGATCGCATCCAATTCTTCGGCCACATTCCACATGAAACCCTGGAGTGGAGCAAAGGTGTCAGTTTGTTTCAAAAATAATTCAGTAAAGAATAATCTTCAATCTTTCAAACGTTTATACTGCAAAAAAAAAGCCTGAAATATTTTAACAGGATATGAGATAATCAACAGAATAGAATAGAATAGAATAGAATAGAATAGAATAGAACAGGAAATTGGAATGGAATAGAATGTTATGAATAGAATAGAATAGGGAATGGGAATAGAATGGAACATTATGAATAGAATAGAATAGGGAATAGAATAAAACAGAATGGAAGAATGGGAATGGGAATAGAATAGAATATTATGAATAGAATAGAATGTTATGAATAGAATAGAATATAGGAATGGGAATAGAATAGAATATTATGAATAGAACAGAATGGAATGGAATAGAATAGAATATAAGAATGGGAATAGAATAGAATATTATGAATAGAATAGAATAGAATAGGAATGGGAATAGAATGGAACATTATGAACAGAATAGAATAGAATAGGGAATAGAATAGAACAGAATGGAAGAATGGGAATGGGAATAGAATAAAATATTATGAATAGAATAGGAATAGGAATATAATATTATGAACAGAATAGAATAGAATAGGGAATAGAATAGAATATTATGAATAGAATAGAATAGGAATAGAATAGAACTATTGTCACTTTGAATATACACCAATTGGCATACATTAACAATGAAATTTCATTGCATACAGCTCTTAACCTGCAATTTTACACATCATAAACATGACAAGATAAAAAAATTAAATGAATACAGAATTCTGTATATGCCCACATATATAATACGACACAGAGAAACAACACAGTCTAGTTATACATGTTTATGGTGAGAAAAACAAATTTTGAGAGTTTACCAGACGGAGGGGCATAGGGAACAAAATAGTACCGTATTATTTGCAAACCAGGCGATGTCCCCTTCATTGCCAGTGTAAAAAAGGATTGTCCCCGTGTCTTTCTTCCAGTGCTGGTCTGCGATGAGGTAGCGTTGCTTGAACGTGCGGTCTTCAGCAAAACCAAAGTGATCGATCTGAAACAACATGGGGGAGGGGGAAACCTTAGAGCAGGGGTGTCCGAACTTGGGAACTTTTAAGATTTGTGGACTTTTATGACTTGTGGACTTCAACTCCCAGAATTCCCCAGCCAGCAAGTCCACAAGCCTTAAAAGTTCCCAAGTTTGGACAACCCTGCCTTAGAGAATACAAAATAACTGGGTTGGAAGCAGGGGTGGGTTCCTGCAGTCACTACTGCCCGTTCGCTCGTGGACGCGTCCCGCATGCATGCACTCTTTGCGCGCATGTGCAGTGCAATAATTGCGCATCTGCAGAAACAAAGGTGGCGGTGCCTATGGCGCTGCCCCCAGTTTGGGGGCGGGGCAGCCCTGGGTCGCTGCCGGTTCCAGCGGCCCAGGCTGCCAAACCACTACCGTTTCGGCCGAATTGATCCAAACCTTTAGGAATCCACCACTGGTTGGAAGGGACCTTGGAGGTCTTCTAGTCCAACCCACTGCTCAAGCAGGAGACCCTACACCCTTCCAGACAAATGGCTGTCCAAACTCTTCTTAAAAACCTTGGGTGATGGAGAACCTGCAGCTTCTGGAGGCAAGCTGTTCCGCTGATAAACTGTTGACGCTAACAGGAAATTTCTCCTTAATTCTACGTTTGATAAGCTTCCATCTACTATTTCTTTTTCTGACCCCCACCCCCAAGTGCTTTGGAAAATAGATTGACAATCCCCCTTTTCTTGCTATCATGTCACCCTTAGTCCTTCTTTTCATTAGACCTACCCAGTTCCCCCAACCATTTGTCGTATGCTAAGCCTCCAATCCCCTAATCATCTTTGCTGTTTTTTTTTCCTCTGCACTCTTTCTATCTAGAGTCTCAACTTTTTTGTAGCATGGTGACCAGAACCGGATGCAATATTCCAAGTGTGGTTTTTACCAAGGCATTATAAAGTGGTACTAATACTTCATCTGATCTTGATTGCATTCCTCTGTTGATGCAGCCTAGGGACTGTATCCTTCATGGACTTCATAAAAAGCAGAGAAAAAGCAAAACAAAAAACTATGGACCGAGGACAGCAATAATATCCTTTCTGCCTAAATGATATTTATAAGCATCTAGAAATCAATTGCAAAATAGCAGCTGCCAAGGAAACTAGCTGGGAAGTTTTCAAGATATAAACAAACATGTTGGACACAGATGATGGAGACTGGACAGGAGGAAAAAAGAAAAAGAGACAGCAGATGGAGCTGTAAGGTAACTTAAATCTCTTTTGCTCCATGTTCTTACTTTATCAGGGCTTATCAGAGACTTTAGAGTTAAAGCACGTAAGACTGCTGGGATATGGTGTTTTGTTAAAATGGTGGATAACCTTGCTTGTTTTAGCCCAATCCAAGCCAATTACCTCCCAAAGACCTATTAGATCCCACAGACTAGGTCTCCTCCGAGTTCCACCTGCTGGCCAGTGTCGACTGGCAACTCTCCGGGGGAGAGCCTTCTCTGTGGTTGCTCCGGCCCTCTGGAACGATCTCCCCGTTGAGATCCGGACCCTCACCACCCTTCCGGCTTTCCGCAAAGCAATTAAGACCTGGCTGTTGCAGCAGGCCTGGGGCTGTTGAATTTTCCAGCCCCATCAGAGGGTATGACTGTTGTTGTTTTTAATGTGTTTGTCTTTTATTTTTATTCTGTATCCCCTTCCCTTTTTGACTGTGAGCCGCCCTGAGTCTCTTGGGAATAGGGCGGCATACAAACTGAATCAATCAATCAATCAATCAAATCAATCAATCACTTCAAACTTAATTCCTTAAACTACTAAGGACTCTGGGGAAAAAATATTCAGAATGCACAGCTGATGATGATCGTACATATTCTAATGCATCTTCCAGACCTTAAAGGAACTTCAAACCAATAGATAGTCCTTAGTTTACAACCACAATTGAGCCCGAAATTTATGTTGCTAAATGAGAAATGTGTTAGGAGAGTTTTGCCTGCATTTTATGACTTTTCTTTCCACTTTTGTTAAGTGAATCACTCATCGTCTTCATTTAACGACTCCATAATCCTTTGTGGGGTGGACATTGGGAAACATAATGGAGCTTAGCAGAATGTTTTAATGGCCCAATGCCCTTCCTGTCACCAATACGGAGTTTTGTTCAGCAGATGTATTATTCTCATTGCGCCCAGAGAGAGAAATATATGCCTCTACCTAGGATCGAACTCATAGCTTCCTGATTGTGAGGCGAAAGCTCCACCTCTAGGCCACTTTGTTATGTGAATCACAGCGGTCGTTAAAATAGTAACAGGGTTGTTAAGTGAATCAGGCTTCCCCATGGGCTTGGTTTATCCAAAAGCTCACAAAAAGGGGATCGCATGACCCCTGGGACACTGCAACGGTCGTAAATGTGAGTCAATCGTTAAGTATCTGAATGTAAGTCACGTTGAACGTGAGGATGCTGCGACAGTCCTGTGTGTGGAAAATGGTCATAAGTCACTTTTTTTCCAATGTCATCGTAAGTTTGAACAGCCACATAAGCGAACTGTTATAAGTTGAGGACTACCTGTTATTGATGGGCTCCATGTCACCCCGGAGTCCTCAGGTCCATTGGCCAAACCACATCTTCAGGGCCTTTCGAAAGAGCGTCAAAGTGGGAGGCCAATATTATTTCCACAGGGAAATAATGTTAAGGATGTTACACGGGAAGGGAGCCACCACGGTAAAGGCCCTTCTTCATCCAGACAAAGTTCCGTAAGAGAGGGAACCCTTAACATTCCCTGACTCCCTGCTCTGGTGGGTCTGGTAGATGTGACCATGGAAAGATGGTCCTTCAAATAACCTGGTCTCAAAGCCATATAGGGCTTTACAGGTGACACCCAGAAGCTTGAATTGGGACCACCGGGAAGCCAGTCAGAAACCAATGCAGTTTGAGAAAGGTGACATGTGTGCAAACCTATAGCCAAGCAGTCCGCTGCACTGTTCAAAACCAATGGAAGCTTCCGGATAGTTTTCAAGGGCAGCCCCTTGCGAAACGCATTACAGTAGTCCAGACAGGCGGTGACTATGGTTTGGATGATGGTGAGAAGGCCTTGTTTTGATTTTTTCCTATAACACAATGACTGCTTTATTATATCACTAGCAATTAAGACACACGAAGGGAAGGAAAAGGAGAGAGGAAAGAAAGGGAAAAGTGGAAAGGAGAGAAAAATAGAATGGAGGAAGGGAAGGGAAAAGGAGAGAGGAAAAGAAAGGTAGTGTGGAAGGGAAATAGAGTGGAAAGGAGAGGAAAATAAAGTGGAGAAAAGGAAGGGAAGGGAAAAGGAAAGAGGAAAAGAAAGGGAGAGTGGAAAGGAGAGAAAAATAAAGTGGAGAAAAGGAAGGAAAGGAAAAGGAGAGAGGAAAGGAAAATAGAGTGGAGGTAGGGAAGGGAAAGAAAGGGGGAGTGGAAAGGAAAGGAAGAATGGAAAGGAGAGGAAAATAGAATGGAGGAAAGGAACGGAAGGAAAGGGGAAAGGAGAGAAAAAGAAAAGGAGAGTGGAAAGGAGAGGAAAATAAAGTGGAGAAAAGGAAGGGAAGGAAAGGGGAAGTAGAAAGGAAATAGAGTGGAAAGGAGAGGAAAATAAAGTGGAGAAAAGGAAGGGAAGGAAAGGGGAAGTAGAAAGGAAATA